CTATGAAAATCATATGCCCTCCCTTTAGATTTGTTCTGGCGCCGGGTCTGCCGACACCTTCCGGGTCTGATTCACCTTGTTGAATCGGCCGTGGAGCCTGCGGAGGCTGTCGGCAAAATAAATCATTCTGATTGGCTGCAGCTTAGCGAAATACTATTTGCCTGAATAGAGTGCCACAGTGACGTCACAGTGACGTCCTAAAACCCGGAAGTAAACTCTTTCCGGTTCCTTCAACAAAAACCAATGCAATTTCTCCATACAATTTTGGAAAATAGATCAAAATAAGGTCTGTGGTTGAAACAAATTGAAGAGACAGATCACGTTTTGTTCAGCCGGATAATATCCACTTGTCTACTCTACATTTATAATTTTCTAATCATAAATCTAATCGATAGATTTATGATCGATAGATAAATGATTAGAAAATGATCTGGCTGAACAAAACGTGATCTGTCTCTTCAATTTGTGATTACAAATAATATACTGTTAGTAGGCTAGTTAAACCAATAATAATTATACGGCTACAACTGACAGTTATGTAGGCACATTTTTATTTGTTCTTAACGCTGTGTGATTAAAAGAATAAACACAAATAGCAGGATAGGCACACATATTTGCTACATCTTGCCCCACTGATAAGGCACTGCTGATACTGTTAAAATATTGGCATAGTTCATCCCTGTGCTGCTTGGCTCAAGCTGTAGCATGTAGCTATTTGTTGTTCACAGTCTGTCTTCTGGTTGCCTCTTTTGAATGACGAATACACACTACCGCCGCCTGCTGGTAAGGAGAGTCATTGTGAATCAAGCATGCACAGTGCGTACGTGCTTATTGGCCGTCGGCTAAAGTCTTTGCTGTGTGTTCCAGTGCGACTGTTTGGCCAAGACGCAGGAGACGTGAGGCGACACAACAGTCGTGTTCTGTCGGGACGTGTTCTTTGGTGTTTGTTTGGTGTGCAGGGGCCTTTAAATGTTAAAGTTTTCAGAGCTCTTAAAAAGGAGTTCTAAATGTGTTAAATGAAAATTAGATCTTCATTTTGTGTTTTGCTGATATTGAGACCTTCAATCTTTTCTACCATGGTGTCATTTAGTCTATTCGTTACAAGTACAGTATCAGTAACATACAACAATGATGTATGAGGGATCACACTAATCTAAAAAGGCTGTGATTGCCACTGTGACTCAGAAGTCGGCACATCCAACATTAGAGCTAGGCCCCGTGTACACGGAGACGAAACGGGTGTTATCCGCTACAGTTCTCTATATCGTATGGACGGTTCGTTCACACGATGCCGTAACGGAACCGCGGAAACTGAGCCCTCAAGCGATAACGGGTCCCAAGGTGGGTAGATCTGCGGACGGAACGCTCTGGGGGGTCAAACGGCTCAGTGTGTACGCCCGATACGCCACAGCCCCGCCTCTCCCCACCTCTCCTGCTCACTCCCGTCATTGCTGATGTGTTTCGCCAACAACAACAACAGTGTTCCGAGTGTTTCGAGCCAGGTCCCAGTATCTCGCAGGACAGTGCACCCAGCAGGAGCCTCCAGCAGACCCCCCCGCACGGCAAAGTTTCCGTTAGCCGGTAATTACCGGACTATGACCGGTAAAATATGCTGAAGACCGGCAAATCTAAATCTCTCCGGTCAAAATGTTGCTTATTGTTTAGGTGTCCTTTGACACGCAGGCAGTCATATAGAGATCAGCTGCTGCTGACGGAGATACGCAGCTCTGCATGATCACCTGCAGCTCCACCCGCTGTGATGGAGCGGTGAGCGGAGCAAAACACACGCTTCAAGTTAGATCATCTCACTTAGCTATGTTAATTACCTCTCAAACTACCTAAACTAGTTATAAATATGTTTATTTTTACTGTCGGGTCACTCATTAGTGGATCAGCAGCTGCATGAGACGGATACTGATGGGCTGTCAGGAGATGGGGAGGAAATGAGAGGCTCCTTGTATTATTCTTATATTATTATATAGTGTCATTATTCATTTGTTTTAAAGCTCAATAAATAACAAAGAAGACCTTTGACCGGCACTTTTCTAATTTTGTCCAGGAGATTTAAACTTTGACGGACATATTCTAAAAATGATAACGGAAACTATGCCGCACGGTTCCCTCGTCCCTTGGAAGAGGCGGATAGGTGGGTGTTTTTCATCTGCTGGTGGACTACCGGGGAGATTGAACGTCCTGCCCGGGAGCCAGGCTCAGAGTTAGTGGCAGTGGGTGCGGTGCACCTGCCTTTTACAGCAGGAGCACACGCTCGCCTCGGGGAGGGAGACAAAGAGAAACAGAGGCCGCCGAAAACATTGGTTCAAGTAGTTTAGGAGTGTATCTGAGCATGCAATCATCAACAAGCAAGAGAGCAAAATGCACCTCAGACCAGTCTACTGATTAAATATAAAGCAAAAGGATAAGCCATAACACAGCTACTATGCAGTAACGAAGCACACATTGAGAAATAGGCGATGGTACATATTCGTCCCTATGGCCGATATAGAAATATTCACTTAACCTAATTTGAATTTCTTTGGACTTCAGAGGAAACCTCCACAGGATAAAGATGCCTTTCAAAAAGACTCCTCTTTGGACTCCAGAACATTCCTAAGCCACCTATAATGCTGTTTGAAAGGTCCCATGACATGGCCATTTCTACTGATCATAATTCCATTGTTGAGGTCTACTAGAATAGATTTACATTGTGCAATTTTCCAAACTCACATTGGTTTCTCATACAGCATCTCTGTATAGTATGTGTATTCACTCTCTGTCCTACACAGCTTGTTGGAGCTCCTGTCCCCCCCCTCCCTGTGAGCCCAGTGTGCTCTGATTGGTCAGCTCGCCCACTCTGTTCTGATGAGTCCACCACCGTTACAGTGGAACATCAGTGAGTATGTGTTACTATGGCGTTAGCAACCAGAAAATGACACCAGTAATGACAAACAGATGAGAATGATGCATGAGGTCTGGGTGCCATGTTGGCGGGACGTTGCGCGGCTCCCTGCCGTTTCCTGGTTGCTGCGTGGGGTCTGCGAGACAGCGAGACATCGCGAAACACAGCCTGAACTCAGCCTGAGCACCATGGATGCGGGAAGGGGGGGTGCTGAGGGGGCTGCAGCACCCCCATCTGCGAGGCTCCACTAGTACCCGCAAACACGGCGGACCTACAGTGTAAGCGCGCCAGAGTTTCGCCGCTGCGAGGCTCCACCAGCACCCCCTCCAGCGCGTCACAGTTTTGCCGCTGAGAGAGTGTGTGTGTGTGTGAGGAGCTCCACGGATTGACCAATGGGTCCACTTGGGTATGGTCACGTCACTGTACCCAGGAAGAAAAAGAAAAATCTCCAACGAGGCGTATAGACAGGTCTTTTCTGTGTTAGAGATTTACTCGCTACAGGGTGTACTTTGAGGGTTTGTGACTTTGCCAGAAAAGCATGACATGGGACCTTTAATATGAATACACATAAGATGTACAGCTATGCTCCTTTTCATGTGAATGGCCCAGTATGCATGCTTCATGACACAGTGGTCTGATGATCAGAAGGAAAACCAGTCAAACAGATAGCAAAACTCTACCAAAAGTCAAGCAATCACATGGTTTTCTGAGCGAGATAGTAAACATCAGAGGCGTCACCTTAACAAGCCAAGGTACAAATCCAATAAATGTGTGTTTGTGAGTGCAAAGGAGGTTTGGGATGTCTGAAGCTGACAAAACAGTAAACGGTTACAATGTGCTGAGGCGTGGCTGCTCATTTTATGTCTTTGTCCTTTCAAGCCCTCAATTAGTTTAGCGTGTAAACACACTGTGCTATGGGTGATAAGTGGCAAGATACGATGGGGGCTGGTGAATTGTGACAAAACAAAAATGACACTGGAGAAACAAATTAGATGTATTCATTGTGTCCTTTGTACCTTTTCCTGCACGAGCATCTTGCCACTATCCAACCTCCATTTTATTGTATTCGTAACAGGGCTACTTTGATAGGGTTAGGGTTATACTGAAGCATTAACCCATTCTTTATGTATGAATGTAGTTGGGTCCAACATAGAAAATCCAAAGAGACATACACTGCCACGAAGAGCATTTCCTTAAACCATCTTTTGGAACATTACAATGATTACTGCAATATGGCCTAAGGATGCTTTAAACATGGCTGTATTATGCAAGCGGCTGTATTATGCAAGCAGATGTGTTGGTTGACAACTTTCTTAACCACACACTTAAAACCTAGCTTAAAACCCACAGTGGTTTCACTTTCCATCACCTGACAGAGAAATTAAAGCAAGTGTTAAAGTGGGCAGTGAAGAGTTTGAAAGCAGAGCTATAATGACCATAAGGACGCGCTGAACACAAACACACGCTCTTTCCCAAATGAAGCCTACCGCAGAGCTCCGGGCTGATTCCACGTGCTATATTCTACGATTCTTATAGAAGGAGACAGGATGTGTTTACTACAACCCCTCCAGCATCAGATCAAATATTCATGAAGACAAATAGTATCCAGCCTGGTCTGCAACCACAGCATGTAATTCTTATTTTGCCATCTGCACTGGAATAAGGGATTACACGCTGTGAGGGACCTAATTTAGACCAGACATAACACAACGGGGACAGTAGGAAGCTACAGTAACAGAACAAGAACCAGAAAGAGGCTTGGCTGGATTGCAGTACTGCATGTACGCCTGTCAAAGAGCAAGTGGTTTCAAGTGCACGAGAATATGCTGCCATGACAACAACCCTGAAGATCAAGGAATGTAGACCAGTTTCTCTTGGACTGACTGTACAAGGTGACTACTTTCTGTTTCCAACTGTGGTGCAAGCTACAAGGTTGTAGTAGGGCAATGACACTGGCTGATGGAGAGGTAGAGAAATATAAACAGCAACAGATATCCAGCGTTAAAATATGGACTGAGGTTTTACAGTGTGAGAATGCATGAGCTAAGAATCCAATCTCCAATCCAATGTTGCCTGAGAGATATCTATGAAGAAAAGTCTTTACCTGTGAGTGAACGCTTGCGACTGTGGGAGCTGCCACATCCAGCGCATTCAGAGAACTTGGACCAAGCAGTTAGAGTGCAGTCATCCTTGCAAGTTATCCGGCACCCTCTGATCTGGGGGGGGACGGGGCCGGCCCATCGCAGGCAGTCTGTCATGTTGGCCGACTCACCGCTCTCCTCTACACAACTGATTCCTGCAAACATAGATGAAAGCAACGATGTCATTCCAATTACACACATAACAGATCACATCACAATCATCCGTGGGGTTCTACATTTTCCGACATATTTTTTGAATGGTTTTCTGGCTAGGATAAGCTTGATTGAAGGACATATTTATCTTCACGGTTTGATTGAGCAGAAAATGGGAGGGGCAGGTGTATTCAGTTCTTTATGTTAGGTTGAATGGTCTTACAAAGGAAGACATAATTGTTATTGTATAATTCATAGCTTTCTGCTTTCATGTTAAGATCTAGTGAAATGCTAATTCAACCTTTAAGCACAACATATTGTGCCAATTATGATTTATTAAGTAAACACAATGCATTCATGATATTCGATTAACCTGAATGCTAAATACTTCTGACAGAATGATGTATATACCTTCCGATCAGAGTATTGGTATTTAATCAAAGAGGGATAAAGACATCACAACCGAGTGTTGCAGCAGCAATATCTTCCTCTGTGTGCTAAGAATAATCACTTAGAGAACACAGTAGGAGCAGATGGGTTACTATTTATTTTTGAAATACTACTATAATGAAACACACTAAATCAACTGAAAGCAGTCCAATGCGGTTGCTTTTGATGAGTTTGGAAAATATTCAATTGAACACATTTTAGATTTTTTCTTTGCATACTCAACATTTTTAAAGAAGCAAGGCCACTCTGCCAGAAAGGTTTATGTAGTTAAGAAAAAAATAACATTATGCAGTTTTACGAATTGAAGGTAGGTATATGAAAATACTTCAAAAATAATATATCCACTTTAAAACACAAAGCCTTAACTTCAAGTCTCCTATTTTACAAAAAAATTAACATGTGATTCCTAAAAGAATGATCTAATCTGTGGCAAAAACTTTCAACATACAAATGTTTTAGAATCAAACTGGTAAATATCTTCTCAGGGATGGAAGCGTCAATATTTTAGAGATGTAGACGTTTTTATTTGTCTTATTTGCATTGCCATTTTTATTGTTTATATGGCAGGATATTGAGCAAACACACTATTTGTTCTGGATTACATTATATATCCAACTGTCTATCAAGCATAACCTTCCATTTGCTCTCTCAAATGCTGATATGATTGGACTAAGGCTCAATAATGCATGTGGGCTGTATATCATAGTTAGATAAAGATGTTTACAGGTTTATCAAAGCATCTATTCTACAGAGGGGATGCTGTGGTCCAAGCATTACATTTCTTGAAGTATGGCTCATAAGAATAAACTAAACACATGTGTTTTCAGGATGTGAATAGTCATTGTAATAATGTAAATCAAGTGGGAAACCTAATTGAAACACTCCCAAGATAATTTGAATTACAATGATCAGAAGACCTACAAGGTGGGAAAGTAATAACTCTCCTAATTTCCAACACTGATACCCGAGCCTGCATTTAACCTGGCATGAATGTTTGCAGTGATTATTATAACAGTAGCTCAGCCCTGGCTTAGAGGGAAGCAGCATACATGAGGAACCTTAGCAGTGATACATCTGTAATGAGTTAATTAACATCAATTAAATAAAGAAGAAAACAAAATGAGTAGTTGTTTGGATGCTGGCTGAAGAGAGAGAGGAAGGAGCATGTTATTTTTATTTTTTCCAAGGTGACACTGATAAGGCAGGAGTATTTGATTGGATTGTAGCTTCCTTAAACATTTTAATTAGAGCACGACAAAGGATAAAACCATGTTCAAAACATTGCTGTCTCATGGACACTAGGACTAGAAGAAACGTTTGCCAGTAAAGGAAACTTCTCCTCCCCCCCAACGCCTCAACGCCTCTGCGGATCCACTGATACACAAACATGTCTTCAAACATCCATTCCATTGATTTCTATTTGACTTTCAAATTTTGCCCTCTGACAAAAACGGTTGGGTTTTCTACATGTCTGTCGAGGATGTGTGGGATGGTCATTTACATACAAGGTCTCCACAAAGGTATTGCATGGGAGCTGATAGCTTCACTAAAGTGCCTTTATGTAACAGCTGCAATCACAGCGGTAAAAAAACAACCTTTTATTTTGAGATGTACAGGTTAGAGCGATGATACTATAATGACCGATCAAAGGTGAATCTTACTTTCGATTAGACAAACCTGTTTGATACAAAGCTGATAGAGTATAAGTCCAATAACCACTACTGTAGGAATCGTTTCACGTCCATATGGTATTTCCTTTTGTCTATTTGACTTAAATAGTGTTTTTTCACCAGTGAAAGCGTCATCCCCAATTTGTTTTATAAGCAAAGCCAAGTACTGACATTTTGATTTTGAACCCAGAGCCATCCATTTTTAACATGTTTATTTCAACCAAAGCCCATTTTTGTGGCTTTTCACCATCTCCTCTCACAAATGGTAACAATTGATGTCACAGTACGCCACTGACAGGGATCATCTTTAATTATACAGCTACTGAGAAAAGGTGAACACTTTTGAGGGTTGGTTGAAAGGACAAGCTTTGAAGCGGCTCGACACTTTCCTGGATAATGTTGTAGACTTTGAGCACATCCTTTTGATTTTATATTTATATTATTTTATTTAATAATGTTTTGTTTCAACTGAAAGCTTTTATCAATCTGACTCAGAAAATGTTCTATCATTATTTTAAAGACAACCTTTTTGAATCCACTTAAAAACCCCTGCCATAAGATATTCTTTATGTTAAAGACGGACTGCTTGTATAATGTTTTTCTATATAATGCCTTGTGAGGAGCGATGTGGATTCATCATACCCATTAACTCTCCTTTTTCCCTGCAGCAGAAGATCAATCATCACCATGACTCATTTTCTAGTGAATCACTGCTCAAAACAGTTTGATTGCGACTCAGGGAGCGATACAACACATCCATCTGGTTAGGAGCCACAAGTTGGCCGAATGCAGTCACAGCGGGGTGTAGTTATTTTAAAAATCCATTGGCTCACTCACTCACTCCAAGGTATCAGCTGTAACATAATACAGCATTTCCTAGCCGGTTGCATTTAGCAGAAGATGTTCTTCAGGCAAGGTTAAGATTCATCTTCTCAAATCTTGTCTTATTTAGTAACAGCTCTTATCTGTGACCTCCAGCGTGTCGGATCACCGTTTGTACAGCAACACTCACCTCACTTGGTTCAGACATTTGCATTCATTCAACATGCAGGCCTGTATCCGACAAGGGGCCAGACACTCTGAGGTGGGAGGAAGCATTCACTCAAGCCAAGGGCATTTTGGCTTTGTAAAGCACAAAACCAATTGTGTGCTGAAACTTGGCCCAGATTCTAACCTTACAGTACATGCCTGAGCCAACGTCCAGCGGTCTGACAGACTGCGCTGTAGATCCCCGGTTGCTAATTGAACTGTTCTGTAACTGCTATTTGAATGTTTCATCATCAGTAACTGTTTCCCAGGGCAGTGTAATGTTTCTTATAAAGAGTCCAATTTCCAACCAACGCTCCCGTACAGTAATCCTCCCAGGGAAGCCAACCTGGCACCAAGAGTGATGCTTACCTCAAGAAAAATAAAACAGATTTCAGCAGTGGCTGTGTGCCTGGTTCTGCCTCACAGTTATGTTAGTTCAGCCAGAATGTCACTGATGATGCAAAACACATAGGTATACTTGTAATTAAAAGAAAATGTAGCCATTTGTGGGTGTCCAACTAGTGAATGCAGTCATTTGAAGCAATACAATTACTCAGTGCTGTTTCCATGCTGCACCAACTGCATCCAGCAGCATTATTTTATCCCTCTATGGCATACTGTTGCCCTCAGGCAACAAACCACTTATTTCGACCTCACACTGGCCCTCTAAATATTGTAATTATTTTAAATATACACAATGTCACCTGACATGCTGGTGTCCAATAAAATGAGGGAATTATATGGGTGTGGCATTTTGTCTGGGTGGAGCATATACAGTCTATGGGGTGGAGCAGTCCTTTCTGCAAGCACAGCTGCAGGGGACTCAGGGCCACCACTTGGTAAGATACATTTCACTTTTTAACATATTAGAAATGTACACAACTTAAAATAAAAAATACATGCATGTGCAAGAATACGTAAAGAAGTATATTTGATTGTTTAAAGACTTATTATGTATTTATTAATTAGCTAAAATTATGTTTTTTTGTTCGTTGCCTCAGGGCAACACTGTGCCACTTGGACCACTTTTTTCCAGGCAATATCATACAAGTGTGCTCAGCTGTAAAATGATAAACCTCATCAATGTTTTTAGCTCTACTGATATTTACAGGAAATGGACAACAAAACATGTCATGGGCAGAAGGGACACGATCAGGCTGTTAGGGCTATTCCGTCTGACAATGAGGACAGTGAAGGTCAAGATAGGTTTACACACACACACACACACACACACACACACACACACACACACACACACACACACACACACACACACACACACACACACATACACACACACACACACACACACACACACACACACACACACACACACACACACACACACAAAGAAAGAAAACCTTTTGAGTTGTTTTTTCTATTGCTTCTGAATTGTAGAAATTCTTGGTGTTTCAATACCCTCGTAGCACAGTGTTGCCCTGAGGCAACAAACCAACCCCTGGTTGAGGGGTGAGGGGGGGTCACATTTTATAATTTATATAATATCAGGGACCCCTAAGCTCCTAAAACACATGGTGAAACATTTTCCTCCCAAAATAAAAAGTCATGCCATAGAGGGTTCATTTGTAAGCCTTACTGTTGTTTACATTTGTACCATGTCTGTCTTTCTTTTCGCTGCTGAAGAAGGATACATCGTACATGTAACCATTGATGGTCCAAATGTTATGGCCACATTGTATAAAAGCTGTACGATTCTCTCTTGGCTATAAGGAGCAATAATTCTATCTCTTATACTATTTTACAACAACAAAAGCTTTAGCTTCAATTAACTGTGACTCTGTTTATATTGTGTTATGTTTTAATGTCCTGTGTGTTAAGGTACTGGATCCACAACAGTTTTAGCAACGTCATTTGTTGTGTTTGTCATTGTTACAAGGCGGTGCACTCTTTATTTCCCCTCAGAAACAGACTTCCTAAACTCAGCCGGTTGCAAGACTAGATACCTAGAATTTCAATTTTGTATTGTAAACTTGTTACTTCATACATCCTTGGTTAAGTTTGAAGTTATCTTGGGTTGTGTAACTCCGTACAAAGGCAGGAGCTGATAAGATGGTCGTAAAGAAATCTCGGGAAACTGAGTGCCTGGAAACTTCTGAAATCAGCCTGTCTCAGAAGTTATACACAGAGCTGCAGCAAATGTCGAAGCAGACAGGCGGCAATAACATCCATTTTCTGTTTGATCAAAAGACAGTGTAGCTTGACCAAAAAATATATTCTCTTGTAGTTAGGAATACATGTTTATCTCGCTTTCCCATGAAACGCTTAAGGATAGGATAAGGATCATTGGGTTTGCTAATATGTTGAAATGGTGTAGCTATAAGCACTTGTAAATGTTTAATTCATATAAAAAGTCATCTTAAAGCTCCTATATTCTACATTCATGCATTCTCAATACCGTGCAGAACTTTAGAGAGAGATGGGATCAATTATCATTTAATAAAAAATGCTTTATTGATTATTTTAATACATTTTTTATTAGGAAAGTATATCTTAATAACGAGTAATAAAGTACACCGGATATAAAAGCACCACTGACTCTTTGCTAAATATATCAAATGTATTTATCTATGGCTAATATGACGTATAAGACATGTAGGTTTTAGTTGAAAGACTTCTTAGACATTAGTCACCACGAGATGCTGCTGAAGAAAATGCAGAGGAGAAGGTGACCTATTTAGCGTTCCAGGATGAATATCTGACTTGATAATGCAGCACAACCTGCTTTTTCAAATGCAGCTTTTTCAATGAAGGGAGATATCTGAAGTAGATACCATCTGGCACACACTTCCCACAGGATGTGAATACTAATACTAGAACTACAGTGAATATGAACTGCATGGAAAATAACATTGTTGAATATTATGAGTGTTAGTGAGATGTATGTTAAGGAAATCTGAATTGCAAGCAGCAAAACAGAGAAGCAAAGAGGCGCTCCAAAAGGGAATAACGCATAATGTGACATTGGACTTCATAACATGCAAGAGTTATTACATGAACACAATAAAAGCTGTACAATGTCATCAGTAGTAGAATTATCTAAATTAGATTGTATTATATATTCTGAGTGTGGGTGGATAGAGGATATAAAGAGCTCTCTTCGGGCATCATAATCACATCTCCTTGAAAACACAATGAGAAACCCCTGCTATAACTTGCTGTCATTACATTTTTGATATGCCCTTATCCAATTAGCTTATTCCCCGAATATGGCCATATTCCGAGCAGCTGTGTCCTAATTATGCTCCATTTTGGCATTTATATGTTATTTTGCATTGAGTTGGTTCAGCCATCCACTGAGTAAAAGAAAACCCTAGATAAAATCTTTGTTGCTTCAAATCTATATTTAAATCCAGTGTTTCTACTGTCTGCAAATTCCAAACCCATGCTTCAGTTTTTGAAATGTCACAGGTATTTAACTAAGTCATTTTCTAATCATATTCAAATAGGAAGCTTTAAAGGTCAACGAGGCATGCTCCTAACCTGAACACTACAGACACTTCCCCCCTCCTCACTCAAAAGTCATAGAAATTCACTCGTGAAATGTCAGTGATATTTATACTGCCAGGTTAAAGTGAAAGCCGAAATGCTAGAAAGTTCTCAAGGCAGCAAAGTCAGCCCCTGGAAACTTCCCTTGAATCACACCAGTAAATTAGATAGAACAGCCAGTTTCTGGGATTTATTGGGACATTTTGCCCTCCACTAAACGAGTCTGAAATGATCCAATTAACACTCTAGCGCTTTAACGATTTGCCAACTCCACTCAGAAAAAACGCAGTTCTTTTTGAAGGGCAGTGAGCAGTTATCTGCACAGTCCAAAAGACGCTCAACACAGCAAACACTCGCAGAGCACACTTAATCAGAGGTGTTAATCACAGGGATACAGTACTGGAGAATACTTATTATACTTATCAATACGGTATCATGCCAACAGTAATGATTGTAATGTAGTTCAGGCAATATGGGGGCTACAGCAGACAAACAGCAGCAGCACATCATTATCAGTTGTATAACAAAAGAGAACAATTTCCCCCAATGCAAAAACATGTGTTTTGCATTCAGCAGGAACCATGTCGTAGGAAACTGTTTTACGAAATAGTTAAATGTCAGTAAGTAAAAATAAACATGCAATTATCTTGTAGCTTTGATTTGTTGGAAATAGCTTGTTTCAAGTGAGGTATACGGGTGCATCTGAAAAACAACTTAATATATTTAAGTACCAGGAAATCAAGTTCATAATACGTTTCTACCGTGTGTATTTATGTTGTATACAAAGCATTGTACAGCAATGTACACGTACAACCAGTGTGTTCTATTGCAGATTGTTATATTGACAGTCCACAATCACTAAGAACATGTGTAAGATAACCACAAAAAAACTTTAAATATATACCATACATCATTATATTTAAGTAGAGTAACTAAAGCATGAAAAGGTGAAAAAAAATGTATTGAAATCTATACGTTCTTTGTTCAAAAATATGACATATGTCATGTCATAAATTTTCCTAATCATACTTTTACTTATGTACTATTTTTGATGCAGTACTTGAAAATGAAAATGTTTACAGTGTGGTTGCAGTTATTTTTCTCAAGTAAAACATCTGAATACTTTCCACCACTGGTTGTTTGTACTTTGACCCTTTATGCTGACAAGGAAAGATTCCAAGCTCATCATTAATGGGAAAACATGTAAGAAACAACAGGGAGAGCGACTTTTGCGCAATCTTTCTCCCAGGATTGACACTGATGTGTGTACAGAGGTTAAAAAAACATAGTACAATTACAACATAGACAAGACATATGACAACAATGTATCCAGGTGGATGCAAATAAAGTTTCAGGCACAGCAAACTAAAATATTGTAGGCGTCCAGCTGGACAACGGTAAGAAACTACAGGCAATTAAATCCACAAAATAAGTGGCAATTTACTAATGCACGTCTATGTGCCCATATTTTGCTGGGAAAATGCACGTGGGTGCGTAGAAATGTTGGACAGAAAATGATTTGCATCCATTTCGGGTGAAGCAAGGTTCACTTACCACTGTTTACAAGTCACAAGTGACAAACCTTCTTTCTGTTAATTAGGAATAATGCATGTTTACAGCTTTGTTCTTATCCTGTTACATTATTAATGGATTGTGTTCACTGAGAGGTTATTTTATTGCTAATTTGCGACTGTATGACACCAGAATCTGAAACCGTGCAGCACATATTCGTCATTTCATAAAAAGCCTCGATTGGAAGAGCACTATTGTATGCAATTTCCTAAAGTTTATTGCGTGAGTACTTCTCCACGTCTGTATGTATGGTTTGTGTTGGTTTAGTGTGTAACACGGCTGATTGTTTTTTGTCAACCTGCTGATGTGCTTGTAGCCATCTGACTTGCTGCATTCATTAATAAGAAACTCGAGTCGTGATAAGATCATCAAGACAACAGACGGAAAGGTTCATCTCGTTACACTCTCTGGACAAATTGCCTCCATCTTTTATGCTTCCATCACTTGCTTGTTAAAAGGAGCAGTTCTGAAAAGGGCTATTAGGTCTCATTAAATAAGGAAAGTAAATAGATGGAGGAGCAAGGTTTAAAATGGCCGCGGCTGACAAGTGTACAGAGCATGATAGCAGAGAAGAGAAAAACACTCGCCTCTTGTTTCCAGACCGTTTCCACAGGCTTCTGCCGGTCCAGATAATCCACGGCGAACAGACTCTGGAACCAAACTGCAGCTGTGCCACTTGTGTGTTCTCCACCTGCACGGAAACAGACAGACTGTGGGTTGACAGTGGGCTGCTTTTAGAGCTTCATTTACACAGCAAGTAAAGGATGGCCCAATCTTGTGTTGTTTATTTTGGTTTATAATTCTAGATCTGCACCACATTCATGCAATGCAACCTTTATATAGGCAGGGAAAACTGCCATGTGTCATCACTGATGGTGCAATAAATGAAAAAAATGTTGCAATGTGTCTGAGCCACACTGCTAACGTAATTGGTTATCCGGAGGAAAAGGTGTGATACATTTTGGTGTTACTCTACTTGAATGTCTTTTCAATTTCACTGCCAGGAATACAATGAACTGATAGATACTATTGGTAATTCATTCAAACTTTAAAACATATATTTATAAACTCCTTATTATAATTTGATAATTGAAAGTCATTATTAACAATCTAGAAAGGCATTTTCATGACATGCATTGTTCCACTTTACTTCATTTCTCTGACAGCTGGAAAGATTTGAGTTTTGAATCCCACACTGTCCATTTAAAAATCAGGACTCGTGTCCAGAAGAGTTGAATCTGAATATTCACGAGGATAAAGTTCCTTTGTGTGTTGAGAACAGTGTCCCACTTCTTCAACTGTAAAACCCATTTTGGATCAGCTGGATATGCATATTCACAAAGTTTAAAAACAGGTTGGTTTTTTTGAACTCATGAAGGATACATGGTTCTCACAGGAAACAACAATACTTTACAAACATATGATAATCCTAAGTAATATAATGTATTCCTGTAGAACTAATTAACAAACAATGTTAGCACAACCCTATGTGTAAAGCAGTAAAATACAAATACACATAAATCCATCAGTATTATATAATCCCTCAAAGTTAAACATAGATATCTAAAGGAGTCCCATTCCAACATTAAATATGACAGCTTTTTATAGAAATGTAATTTCCAGTCGCTGCTGGGTGGTGTTAGCCTATCATTTCAGAGTTTTATTTAGATTTCCATATTTTAACCAATATGCAACATACATATTATTTTACTATAGTTTTAAACCAAAACGGTATTTTGCTTTTTCATCACAGCTGTCATTCAATTCCTTTCCTAATAGGTGTGATTTAAAGATGATGATGTTATGTTGAAAGGTTTCCGAAATGTATGTATCTGACAATTTATCTGAACAAGCACAAATATGCAGCAATGTTTAACAGTAGTTAGTTACGTTACATTATAAGCTGTGAGATAATGTATGTCAAAAGCTAAAGTATCCATCAAAAACAACCTTGAGTTGCAGTTATACTACTATACAGCAGACAAACTTATTCTTGGATAGGAAAGAAAAATGGTTTAAACAGTGTTTTTACCTATAGTCCAGACACACAGGAAGCGATTCACACTCTCTTTCCTCATACAGTGTGTCTGGGCACTCTTGACCTCCATTAGCAGACCTCTGAATGATGGTCCTGTATCGAGACTGTGTAGCAGCAGTGTCATTTCCTGTTGAACGTGGAACACAATCTTCACAAAAAGGCTGCATCAGGTGGCAGAGTAGTTGCACAGTTGTATTCAAATGAATGTTTTCCAGGAGGAAGAGAAAGGAATGAGACTAAAAGGCTGACTTGTGTTGTTTGGGACACTATATAAATGGTGACACAATATCAGCAGTGCAGTGTAAGGTCTTAAAGTTGGATTATTATCTGGCCCTGCTTCTGTGATGTCCTCCACTTCACTGCGGTCTGTTTTTGGACACACTGCAATGTAATGGCTTCATTTGGCTCACGCTCCAAGGCTCATTACACAACGCTAATTACTAAACATTGAAAATGGTGCAATTAAGACAGTGATTACATCATCAGTGCACCCGAGACGAGATGCCTGCTCAATTCTTATTATTATTAAAAACAATTAAACCTTTTTTATTTTATTTCCATGATACTCACAGTACACATATTGAAACCCATTAAAAATCAATTTTCTTCTTCATGTGTCGGCTTAATGTAATGGACAGTTAACATTGTCATTTACACTTAAATGTGATTATTGAACACACTGGAGACGTCAAGGAAGAGCATATTTGTAAAGCGGCATTTTAGTATTTAGCAGCATTTAAATACTTGATAATGCTTGCCTCATATTCACAACAAATGTAAGTATATGCTGAATAACTTACTATTATTTTCACGTTAGATTAGTATGCCTATTACTTTTTTAATTTCTTCATCAATTGTTTGAGCTAAATAGTATTTTTAGTTTTATTAGGAAAACATATATATTTTTTATTTTGGAATAAATCAGTCAATCAATTGTAAGCCATCGCTATGGTATCAATTTACTGATACATAATCATACTATTTTTAGCTCTAATATTTAGTAACATACCAGTATGTAACTGTAAATATGTAATTGTTGTTGTACTATTAACAGTACACTTAGGTTTTGATTTACTCTATTTTGAAGTACACTATATTTACCAGGGCCATACCCAATAGTTTGAAGCTTCATTAATTACAATGAAACCCTAATGTATGAATCAACGTTTAATGCTTCTCTATTCATTCAGTTTAAACCCTGTGTGTCTTCACAGGTCATGAGGCTACACTAATGCTATTTGTATACTCTAAATGTATAGGACTAAATTCCACTGGAGGCTGTTTCAGACTCCATTATCAATAAATCCAAGAGTGTTGTGAAGTTCAAACGTCATAATCGATTCATAAAAATACCTAATGATGCTAAAAACTACACCATTTTTTAACGTGACAACATTATCAGCTTCAATTCATATTCCCTGGTGTAAACATCATGTTTACCATGATCAGAAAACAAAGTGCTCCACTGCTTGTCACACACAAAGAGAGATAACCTGTATTTATGGTGCAGTCTAGAAGCAATTTAACAACACCATAAATCAAATGTATAAATACATTTTTTTCTTTCAATTATTTTATAGTGATAACGTCATCATATATCAGATCTGAAAGCTTCATTTGAAAAGCTAGAGTATTTGTGTTTAATAAGAACAAACAAAACCTTTTTCAAAACATTTCAATACTTACCAATAATTATAGGAGGACTTTTATATTAGAATAGAAGAGTAATTTGTGTAAAAGTGTTGTTGTTGATGTGTTAGACAGGCATTACCAGGAGTTAATATAAATGCATGAGGAGAGCTACCTGGCATACAGGTTGATGGGCAGGCCGTCCATTCGCTGAAGGGTGTAACAACGCAGTCTGTCTTGCAGGGGAGCAAACAGGGCCGGACGGTTTGTGGACGAGCAGAATCTGAGCACCTAAACATGCAGACAAACAGAGGTCTTAAATCCCCTTCACTCCCCAGGCGATAAATGATAAATGTCCTGGGTCTCGCTGTTAACAGGAGAGTGCAGTGAAACTACTGCCCTGTCCTTGACATCACACATCTCCCCACAGAAAACATAATTGATGACATGCCACCCCCCACCCCCCGCCTGCACGCTCAGGAAAAAAGGAAGAGAAATATAAAAATTGCAGCTTTCACTCACATTCAGTTGAAAACCAGAGCACAAAGAATGCCTTATGAAAAGAAAAATCCTCCCGCCATTCAAGCACACAACTAATTTGTTTACTTTTAAAGCCAAGTTATCTTAAGGTTGGACACATAAACATGTTTATATTGATCAAAGAACAAAATGTCTGGCTTGTGGACAAACTCATAGAGAATGATCCCCTGGTTAAAACTGATCTGATTGTAGTTCTCAATTGTAAACACATATCCCAGCCAGCATGTTTCCTTGTTGAACGAAGATTTTCCAACACATCTTGTTGTGTCTGATACAGGAATAGTTCATTTGCTAACATATATAAACTTCTTAATATGATAATATGCCACTCGTGTAGCTAAAGTAGGGGAAACCTGGTGAGTGCATTTATCTCTTCATATACACGCATAGCGCAGCCACAGAAGTCTTTTGCTGTCACCAAGGAGACAGAGTGTTCTGGGAGGAAAATCAATCAATGTCCACAGCACGACTGCTAATTAAACCTGAGGATATGCAAACGGTTTACCAATGAATCACTCCTGCTATACCAAGGACACTATAACCAGGTTTTAAAGAGCTCTTACCAGACCTCTACCAATTTGTTTGTCTCAAGATAGAAAATAATCACGTATTACCTCTATTATAAGCTGCTATGTCTTGTGTTCCATATAGATAATGGAGCTTTTGGCTGTGTTGTATTTGGCACATTGTGCAAACATGAGGAGGTGTGGATTAATGCAGCTATGTTAAATCTTGAGCTTTGATGGGTTCATCAACAAGCAGAAGACATCCCCACCAACAACACACAGACACACACAGGAACACGCACCGCGACACACAGACAGCACAATTTTGTTTCAGAGTGAATGACTTTCTTTGACAACCAGATCCAGGTCTCACTAGACCCAGCATGGTGCCACATCACACTAACCGCAGAGAGCCAGCATGCACGGGAATGAGATCAAAGTATGCCAAAGGAGGCATGATGCAAAACCCCATCCTTTCTCAGATTCATCCCTCTTCTTCTCTCTCCCTCTTTGCAGAGATGCATGCCAGAGGGCATGGGAACGCAGCGGAGCAGCTGGGGGAATACTGTGCAGAACGCCAAGAAAGAGAGTCAGACCTACAGTGAGGCCGTGCAATCTGACTGTGACAAGGTTGGGAACATTAAATGTCCCTCAGGAAGTCATGATAATTATATATGCAATCAAATATGAATCAATAAGAAGATATTCTGATTAATTATGCACATTTATATACATTTGTTTGGAAAAAGCCGTTTCATTATGAAGGCAAATGAGTAAACACTGAAACTTATAATGTGTAATATAAAAAAGGGACATTAGTAAAGCAATGAATAGTTTTATGTCCAATCATTTCTATCAAATGCATGTCTTTTTTACTTTAACAGTTAAACAAATATGTGTATTCATATGAAACACTATGGCACCAATGTGGCCATAAGTCTTTTTAACCATTTGTTTAATACTAATTTAATTTAATTTACACAGCAACTTACAGCAGCATCTACACATCAATTAATTAACATAAACAATGAATAATATTACATGTGTTTCTTATGATTTTTCCTTTCTAATCTAATCAAATGTAAAAAGTTATGTTCACAGCCATAGAAAGCCGTACAATAAGTATCAATGCAAAATACAACATGTTATTATAACCAAAGCTATAGTTAGTTATTTTAATTACTTTGTTGAAACAAAGGGGAGCGAAAATTACATTTCAAAATTAATATTATGTGATGACTGGGGGCTATAAACTAAAAACCAGATAGACCCACTAATTCATTGAGCCAGTGTGCCCATGGAGATTGTTGCTAAGAAGGAAATGCTTCTTTGTTTGCAGACAGAAGTGACCCTTTTAAAGTATCAAAACATCCAATATATTCTGGGGCCATCTCCTTCTGATGGGAAGTATTTGGTAGTAATTATACACATTATTTTAGACATATTCTGAGATAAAGGAGGAATGACGCACTGGAAATGACTGAGTCTGAACGCTCCTGTGTATCCCTGTGTGGTCCTTTTTCAGTCCATGCTATCATAGTGTATCTGTCAACTGGAGAATTATCTTATCATATGAAGCTTGGGAAGTTATACAAGATATATGCTGTTCTATATGGACACCCTGATTATGTCTTCATACTGCACATTATGAAAAGACAGCAGAAAGGCCTGTTCTGGTGTAACTGAGTGAATAGTTATATACTGTATGCATCGGATGCTGTTCCATTAAATGGACACTCTGCAGTTATATATGAATAGCAAAGAAGTGATTGACTTCCCAGTGTACTGTACAGGCGAGATGTGTTGGTGGAGCAGAATTGACAGCATTCATTAAAGCCTCTGTGCTGGGAGATAGGACATTCATAAGAAAAAAGCCTCTCCATAATCCACTTTACGGCCCTGTCAATAATGTATTGCGCTAAATAAGGGCAAACTTTGTGAATTATTTATAAATTCATCTTCCTGGTGTGGGCTCCAACATCATTACAGAGACAGCACAAAAGCCCTTATTAGTGTTTGATATTGTATCGCTGAAAGAGGAGTAGATAATGGTGGAGCATAAGCAAAATGGATCTCACGTTCACAAAGAAATCCTAAACACAGGCAGAAAACCTAAATGAAGAGCTTAATGTACAAAACTCTGGGGATGTGTTTTCACAGTGCATCAAATCCTCTGGGTCATTTGTCAGTAAGTAAGACCACACACAATATCTTTAAGGGAGACACTTCTGGAAACTATGATCACATCTCAACTCCTCCCTCAGATTTCACAAAGCTCTTTTACTCCTCACTCATCATTTATTGTTTGTTTCTCTCGGGACCCATGTTCTAGTATCTAAAACAAGTAGCTGTGTCATATAAGTACAGAAGAAGAAAATATCCCGTTGCCAATCTGGCACAAGACAATGTTTTCGGGATTTGGAGACATCTATTGAACTCTGCTTTATTCAGAGTAGGGAAACACTGCTTGTTGGTGGGCTGAAACTACATTTATCTACCATCAGTACATATTTAAAAAAGAACACCTGCTCAATGCTTACAACAACTAGATCTGAAGTGACACAAAGCTTGTCGTGACAAAGGACGCCGAGGAAAAAGTCAAGTGTTACAGTAATGCAAACACTGTGTGAGCAGACCGGCTCAACACCATCCCAAGGTAACAGGAGAAAAAAAGGTGAGAAGTTATTGATTCGCCTCTCAACAGACCCTGAAAAACATGCCTGCAACGACATGCCCACCACATTAAGCTGTAAAGACACAGTGCTGCCCTGAAAACACATCTCACCTCGTTAAAAAAATCATTGCATGTATTGTTTGAACGTATGTGCAAAAACTCGATAATATGCTAACGTATAGAATTGAAGAACATATACATTGCTGCAGGAATGAGTCCTCAACCCAGAAATGAGTTAGTATCGTAGCATTTGTGGGCTGCTTTGTCTCAAAGGCAGGCTCTGCAATAATAACAATAGGGTGTTAATACAGGCTTACACAATTTGTTATATGATTTATACTTTTTCTCATTTGAAATAAAGCGTGTTAGTAAACAGCCCACTTGGGAATTTTTGAAGGTGTCTTTAAAAAGGGAAGTTGCTAAGTGTCAAAAGGAGACCACGTGTCCACCTTTAGCTTAGCGGTGTTGAGAAGTAATACAACCACCATGTAGTGTGTTTATAGCATTACCGTACATCTAATGCTGTTGGGTTGCATTTACGCAAAAGTGTTGTTAATATGCGGAGATTATCCTGCTGAACAAACTGTGTTAGATCTCTATTTGCCACAGATCTTATTTTCTGCAATATTATAAAATCCATAACTAAATGTATTGTAGTCTAGGGAAGCCCTTGCAATGCACCACTCTATTGCAATAACACATTAGTAATTGGCTAAGGTCAGAGAGTTTACCTTTTACTTGTGACAGGTCCAACGTTCTTCTTTATGCAGCTGACTTTGCGGATCTGAACCCCCATGGCACAGGTGAGAGTCCCGTTCAGGAAGCTGGTTCCATTGAGGTCCATGGGGGAATCCTCAATACAGGGTCCCCACGCTGACGCCTCCCAATACAGCATCATACAAGGGTGGTCGTTGCAGACCCTCCACTCCTCCAGGGCTGGAGCTGCAGGACACCCCCTTCCCTCTGGGCACCGGAACACAGGACACAACCACAGTCACAGAAATGAACACTAATGAGTGACTCTATAACTGCTGAGTATTTTAGGATTTTCCTGTGTTTACGAACAAGCTGCAACTGCTCATGCCCTTCTAAAAAAGCAGGATCATTATGCAGATTGCATGTGATTGGCACTGAATATAAAATACATTTCTTCTAAAGTAACAGGCTGCAGTTAGCAGCTGGAAGTCAAATGCTAATATTATCATTGACCGCTGGCTGCACAGCTACAAAACAAATGTTTGTCCGGGTTAGCTGAGCAGACACTTTACAAGTTACAACAAGTTTGTATAACAAATTAAAAGTGACAGTAAGGTTACTGTAACAGAATGAACAGGCAAATGCAAACACTTCCCACAATCCCACTGCTTTTTCTAGCCCCTGCTACTTGTATCCTGATCCATATATCTAGTCACGTTTCTAGTTTAGTCTAGTTTGAAAACATACTGTACTGTTCTGTATTTAAACTCAAAATGGCTGTTCGATTGGCTTACACAGCAAAGTATCACCACAGTGAGACATTATAATCACCTCCTAAGTGACTCATACCTTCTCCATTTGTAGAAAGGTGACATCGCCAGTTCAATAGGATCATGCTGAGGTGAATGCTCACATGTAGTGTATAGAAGTAACAAATGTGCAAATATGTGGTAATTGAGCAGTCCTTTACTGTGGAAATAATTCATTTGTAATTTAATGTGTTTTTAATTAAAAAAATGATCTGTGTTTGAAAATGTTTACTTTTTGTTTTATTTCATAGGTTTTTAAATCCTAATGTGTCATTTCAGATCCCACCCTTCTTTTTAATGTGTACGTATTGGGCGAAATAAAGTACTGTTTTATGATCAACTGATCACATCATCCAAAGGATTAACATATTGATGTGTCACATACACATTCATGTATATGTGAGCACAAAGACCACAAGTACACATTGGGTGGGGGGTATTTATTAACAATATACTTGGGACCACTTTGGTTGGGATCTGTCCAATCTACCTAGAGGTGAAACAAGGGACAGCTCTCTAGGAGTAGCATCAGAGGTGTCATCTGCAGAGGAGTAAGTGCACTAAAGTGAACTGTGACTCACAGAAGGGACGAGGATGACTTTGTCACTGAACCAACTGCCCCCTCCAGTCTGTTTCCTATCCACCAGCTCTTCCACACTGACACGCAACATGTAGGCACATAAACCAAATTACAGCAAACATTCACACACACATGCTTCCGCCTGTCAAGCAGATAGCCAGCAACATGCTATTAAACAACCCAGTGTGAAACACGGCTTAAGCTGCAAGATTCTTTCATCAGCTGCTCCTGCAGATAGGCGTTTGGTTACAGGGATTAATGGGTAGCAGCTAGCTGCAAAGATGCCAACGTTTGAAGTACAACAAAAATACCGGCCAGAGAAAGACCCTGGGATAATGGATGGTCAACTCAAATGTTTTTAGGATGAAAAATGTCTAAATCGACAGAAATAAAAGCCCAAATAATCCCACTGTGTTGGTGAAGCACTCTTTGGCTCAATTCACTTTTATTTTTTGTTTGCCAAGTTAAACTTTAGGTTTCTTAGTTTTGACTCCTCCTAGTGGCAATGTATCATGGATCCTGCAATCTATTATCTGTACCACAGATGGTAATACAAAAAGAGTATGCCCCTGATTTAGCATTGCACTCCTGCCAAAATCTGCAGCCTACGTTAACCATAATGCAACATGACCAAAGGCAGTTCAGTTGGAGATGTAACCTAAAATGACATCATTAACTGCAATGTATTAGTATTACTTCCCATGAATTGTAGGACGCTGTATTTTAGAGTTAGTGTCCCATTTGCGATGTCTGCTGTCAATTATGCAATTTCGACTCCCAGGCACCCTTTCACCCTTATAACTCTAATTAAGGCGTTCTTTGGCTTGAAAAATATCTTTAAAAAAAGAAAATGAGGTGAATAATTGATGGGGCTCCCCCTTAAGTAATAAACCTGTTTTGTCAACCAAGTTGTGCTCAAATATCCTGTTTAATCTTCCATGAGCAGTATACTGTAGTGTAGATATTAAATGTAACTGAGAATTACTAAACGGCATGTAAAAATGTGTTCCTCTCCCACCTAAAGTCTTGTATTTTTCCGGTGGAAAAGGGTTTGAAAGAAACTGTGGAGAAGTTGCAGTACCGTTCCCTGGGATGGCCAGCACAGTGCGAGTGCGGCTCTGTCGACCCTCGGCTGTCTTGGTGGCACAGCTGTGTGAGCAGGGTAACCAGGACGACCAGGGGCCAACCACACAGTCTGCAGGACAGGCCACCTCGCAGGACACTGCTGTGGGGGGGTGGTCGTCTACACAGTGAGCAACGGGCACATCCTCCCCTGAGGAAGACAGGATAGATGAAATTGAGATGGGTTCCATATAAATCATGATTAGAATAGTTACACTACATGCATCTTCACTTTATTAGACAGCAATCAGAAAAGGCTTCAAATCCTGATTCCGGTAAAGGATGCAAGGTTATATCAGAAGCACAGACAAAGTGTAACATTATAACAGATGTAAAAGGCTAGGTCAAAATCTACATAGCAGTTGCCTAAAATACATATGTAAACTGAGTTGCAAAGATTAATCGATTGGTTGTCAATTTTTTAATTATCATCAGCTATAATAATCAGTTTGAGTTCATTTTCAAGGAAAATAGTACAAATTATCTGATTCCAGCTTCTTAAATGTGAATTTTGTCTGGTTTCTGTAAACTGAAAATATTTGACAAAGGATATTCAAGTACGTCTTCTTGAGCTTGGCTGTCTGACATTTCAGAAACCCAACAATTAATCAAATAATCAGGAAGGAAATCAAATTAAACTGATGTCAATGTAAAGCCCTACATATGAAAAATAAATGGACAGATGAATTGTGAACAAAATACACAAAACAGCTTGAGAGAGGAGGTCAATTTTATTCTTAACACCTTGAAAAATATAGTGTAAATGGAGTTCACACAGAGTACCACTTCTCTGACATATTCTGCTTGTCAAGGGTTTCAGTTGTTTACCATTTTCTGTCAGGGTAGAGGAATGTGCAGAGAGAGGTGTGCAGTCGTGGCATGGAAATAGATGATGATGGGATCTCATTGTTGACACTGTAGCAATGTTGATGCCAGGCGTAAACATAATCAGGCTTACTCTAAATACAATCTAAATATGAAAACATGATAATGCAGGTGAGTAAGAGGCTTACTGTAGGTGGTTGTTATTAGTAACAAATGTAAGACTCAGATATTACTATTTGTGGTGGTGATAATGAGTTTTTCTTCTATTTTGGAAGGGGTTGAAATGTATAAATAAACACATTTCCTTTCATTCACATTAAACTAAGGCAGGAATCCTTTTTGAGCGTTAGGAAAATTGTGTCAAACAAAAATAGAGCTTCATTTTGTCTAAAGAAAATTATCAGGCCATCCAATTGGTATTCTGAGCTAGTTCTAAAAGCTATCCTTCAGCTTTCATCTTGCAGTCATGCTATTAAATATGTATCACAGCTTCCAGGATTGAAACAGCTACAGAAATGACAGAGCATTTTCTCCTTACTGTACTGCCGTGATAATGACTCTCAGTGTCTAATTAAACTCTGAAATTAAATATTCCCACATTAATTCCCTTGGTAAAAAACAAAAACATCCCTTGTATTTTTGTCAGACTTGAACATATTTTTAGACAGTCTTTCTCTGCCCAACAGAGAATCAGATCAATTTCAGAAACATGGATGCCATCCTAATGTCAAAACAATGCCAGCAGCAGCAGAAGCATTGTTTTTGTATACACACTGCAGTATCATTAACTTGGATGAACTCTGCCACTACATCATGCTATTATGGTTTAACAATAACAACCCCAGGGCAGATTTGTCATCAATTTCTCTTTTTTCTTTCTTCTCTGAGCGAGTACCTTTGATGCAGAGGAGGGCAGTGGAGAGAGCAAACGCTGGTGTCGCCTCATCAGACAGATGGGAAATACTCCCTTGGGGAGTTTGAAAACCTTTCACTCATGAAGTTAAAGCGTCAGAGACGTCCAGCCATCAAAGTAACTGGTGTGTATACAGCCAGAGATGTTAGTCTGCTTGAAGATGTGGGGAAGTCCCAAAAGGATACTGTGTGGGAAGCATTAGTCCTTTTGTAAGTAAGTAGAAATAAGAATAACAACAGAAGAGCTGATGCATTTTGTGGAAGTGAGACTTTTTCAGAAGTACACGATGGAGTAAGTATTATAAAGTACAATAATACATTACATGGAACATTTCCGGAAGTGAATAATCTTTATAATTATACATCTCCAACTACACCTGATCTGGAGGCAGCTGCACTTGAATATGAATTTTACTGATACTTTACATAATTATTTTGAGCTGGAAGTGAGATTTTTAGCTGGGGCAAATCTATTGTCTCTGCTCAGCATGGCTCCCACCAGGTTATTATTTCAGGTGTATAAAGCATGGACCCCTGAATGTGAGCATAAAAGAGAGTAATAGGAATTGCCAATTTGAAAATGTAATCTTAAATGAAACCTTTACTGTATCAAGGAATGGTTGAAGAATATTTCCAAGTGTACGCTAAGAACAGAGATGTCGAAACGATTATTTTCAGGTAGGATATCCAAAAATAATCATAATTGAAGCCTTACTTTACCATGTATGTAACTCTGACAATAATTGTTTGCTGCAAATTGATACCATACAAATAAATGTAGCACAGTATTATATAATTAATTGTCAAATCAATGCCGTTCAAAAATACTGGTTCTAAAAAAATAGATCTAAATAATATATTAAGGAGAAGCATCTGAAGGTAACATAAGCTCCCAAGCAACACGTTTCATAATTCAGGACATAGAAGAAACAAACAAAAGAGACAAACATAAACACTTTATTTAAAGCACAATGACATGTTTGTACATTGGACAATGGCATATCCAAGGCTACTCAATGTCTGCTTTTTACATGTGAAATCCTCCAGGAAACATAGACTCCTATTTTTTTCAAAGCTATGAGATACAAACGATTCATATAGCCACTATTCCCTGAATGAGCAGAAAATTAAATGTCCATTTTAATTGTTTTTAATTAATACTCTGCATACAGAACAAAACACGATGGGTTCGTTCTCTTTCTCCAGTTTGCAAACACATGGTAGCAGTTGTTAAGCCAAATAGCCGCTACAATACTGTTAAATGGATGTATTGTTTCAGCAAAACGCATTGCCAGAAGAAGAGCAGAAGGCAGCCAGAGCCTCACACAATAGTGCACAAAGGGGTGTGCAAGAATACAAACCCTATGTTCAGCTAAGCCTCCTTACTGAGGCAACATTATAGGAAGCTATTTTGACATACTGTATGTATATTAATACTTTTGGTGTTCCATAAACCAATGTGCAAAAGACTATGCAGCGCTGTTATGTCATGCGAACAAATGTCAGGTTTCCTGCTCTCGGCTGTTTTTAAGGAATTATTTAGATGTATTATTGCCAACAGTGGAAAAATGAGTAATTATTAAACAAATGTTCTGCTTGAGAGTCACAAAGGACTAGCAAACAAAACTAACAAACGACTTGCCTAGAAACAGTGCCTAAAGAAAAATGGAATGAAAACATGACTCCTTATACACAACTGGTGTATTTGTGAGTGTGTGAGACTACATGTGTGTGTGTGGGGGGGGAGGACTCTGCAAATAGATGGCTGCCCTAGGGGTCCTTTTGCATTATTAATACTGGGATCTGTAGTTGGGGCTCTTACTCAGATATAATACTGCATGCAATTTCAACATGATTCCCATTCTGCTCGCCCACCTACCAATTAATCTTCATCATTGTTAATATTCAGGTAGATGTAGAAAAAATGTTCGCCTTTGCTTAAACGTTCATAATCACATCACTTTTTAAGACAAAGCTGGCAATGAAATAGGGAAATTGTAGAAAATCACTCTGACATCAAAGTAGCCTGGGTCACTAATTTATGTTTTCGCCTGTCTATCATATAAGTTCAGTCTCACAGCAAAGTTTAGTGCTGCTTTCCTACAGTATATTCATCGAGTAATATTGACCAGTTGAGGCTGATGGTTACCATTCAGTGCTGCTGGGATATTGGGTTTACAAATGTCAGAGCCTCAGTATGTTTGGGAAGATTGGCCAACATTCATCTATGTCAGCTGTCAGTCACAGGTGCACCCAATATGTTGGAGTCAGCATGCCCCATGGTGTGTGCTTAGTGCTGGGAAATGGGACTGACTTCTACTGTTGGCTGTGCAGAGTGGGAGCTGTCAAAACAACTTCACCAAGCCTGAGGGCAGAAAATGCATCGGGTCGGGCGAACACAGCACTTTTTCTTTCTTTCTTTGACGTAGTTTACAGCCCAATAACGTTAAGGGAATACAAAAAGCACCCATTAGCCTCTCTGTGTGAGATGCCATATTATTTTATGGCAGTTTGCAACAATTGTCAAAGACAGCATGAGAGGCAAATCCCTAGCCACTTACTGTATGACACATATGAGAATAAGGGTGATAATTGTGTTTTTCTTAACATGAGTGTTCAATCTTTCTCCTGCCACCTGCCTTTGTAAACAGACAAATCAAATGCTAATGTGCACATGCAGCTTAATTTGACTCATTGAAAAGTACGTATTCACAAGAATATTGCAAGGTTTATGCAAAATATATTGAAATAATTTGGAAAATGCAATTGCAGTGAAATAGAAAAAGCAACAAAGCTACGAAAAATAACAAAAGAAGGATATTAAAAGCCTTATAATTAGAACAAAAGTACAATCCCCCATGGTATTAACATAATAATAGTCTCATTTACTGAGAGCCGAAAGATCTGAAAGAGTAAATAACACCATTTCATCCATACCTGAGGGGCTTTAGGAATTACCTCATGTATTTCCTGAGCAATACAAGCCAGGCTGTGAGTGATAGAAGATATTTTCTGATTGCTTGAGCAGCCATAGATAATATTTTAAACCCCATCAGATAAACTTTGTCGGGAAAGTGCCGTCTCTCCCCCTTCAAAGGCATACACTTTCCCTGACAGCTTAAAAAAAAAATGTTTAAGATTTGAAATGCAGAGTAGTTTTATGCTGAGAAACTGAAAAATAAATGCTTACTCAATCAAGGAGTAAAGTAGAGAAAACACTCAATATCTCTTTGGCGCCTCTCTTTTCATTGAAGTTCACAGGCTTAAACGGTTCCTGCACTTTGGTGTAAATATATTTTCACATCTACAAATTATTTTCACAGCTAACCATTTGTTTTTCTTTGGAATATCTTCATGAAATATCTAACAAATGCGGCTGCACACTGGGAGCATTGTGAACCCCATGCTCCAAGT